AATTTTTTTTTTTTTTTTTTTTTTTATTGTTTGTAAAAAAAAAACATTAGAACTTTTAGGGGAATAATTGCATATTTTATTTCTCAGGATCACGAGAAATGCAAAATTTACAAAATATACACAAAAATATACAAAAATATGGAAAAAATCATTCATTGGTATATTGAATAGGTGATCGGTACAGGGAACGGATAATTTAGGTATAGGTACCATGATTAAAAATAGGGAAAGGGGCATCTTGTTTAGCAATTAAGGAAAAAAAAAAAAGGATCTACTTACCTATGACTATGAGGCTATGTTGCAATTTTACCTCATTGTACTTAAAATACGTAAAGTAATAGTATAGGATAATTTACATATTGTAACATAACATCATCCTCCAACATTAACATCATCCTCAACATCGTCATCATCATCATCATCATGGATCATGGGATGATCTCAAAAAGGTTTATTATTATTATTATTTCTAAAAATAAATAACAATATAAGAATCCTGATTTAATGTATAATGGTTATATACTCCAGAATAAAAATTCCTTTGTTTGGAAATAAATGAAATGTGAGAAAAATATTCCTTTCATACTTTGCATAAGGAGAAAGTTTTATAATAAGGAGAAGAAATTGAAAGTGAAAGAGGATCAAGAGAAGAACAATTTATTTATACTATTATGTAAATAAGTAATATTATCTGTTATTAATTTCAAATTATATATCGTGCATGTTTTAAAACTTTGACTAAACCTTATGTAATAGATAAAAGAAAAAAAATTATGCTTAAAAAAAAAAATTTTTTAACTTTCGAAACTATTTGAAATTCTTGCAGTTTTACCCCCTTTTTTCCGAATAGATTGTTCCTTTGTTTACAATTTTACCCCTTTAAATTTTTTATTATCATCGATATATTTGTTTATATGGTAAAGAAATCTTCCATCCAATCATTAATTGTATTACATGATTTATTCATATTTGGGTATTAAGAATTTAAAAAAGATCCTCTGCGGCAGAATTTCGACCAATGTCGCTCTTTCGTAGCGCAGTACCAAGAGTTTCCTTTGTTGGTTCTTAAATCATTTATTATTAGTTCGATTCGGCTTTTAATGAAAAATTTCTTAAGTAACAGAATTAACTAACACAAAAATGGAAAAGTGTTATATATATATATATTTTTTAAAAAAAATAAAATTGTAAAATGATTTTAAAGAAAAAAGTATTGGAAAATATTTAGGTTTAAATGATTACGTTTACTAGATCATGAAAAAATGATTTTTTTGTCCATTCTTTACAAAAACAATAAAATAATGAAAAAAAATAAATTAAAAAAATATATAAATAATAAAAATAATAAAAAATAAATTTAAAAAAATAAATTTTTTTTAAAAAAAAAATAAATAAAAAAAAAAAA